AGCCTGAGTGGTGGTGAAAACGCTGGGCTGAACCTCGATGTAGGCGATGCACGACGGGCGGGGAAGACAGGAGAAGCCACTAAGCAATCGAAATATAAAATGTCAATTCAAACATTCCACATTTCTTCATAGAATTCCTGACGTAGTCGCATCTGTATCCGAAGGTATATTGCAGAGGGCACAGCTCCAATACGACTTACATTGGGCAACAGCCGAACCCGTATCCGACCTCTTGCAAATACAATGCCTCTTCATGGTACTGTTCGCCCTCGTGCTGACATAGACTGTATAAAGACGGGCATGCAGTGGCCGTCCTGGTAACTTCGCAGCATCCTGTCTCGCCGCGAATGGTGCATTCGTTGAAATTGGGCAGGGTGCACAGGCGAGTTGCCATTTGGATCACTTTATATGTGTGTGGATTTGGAGACAATCAGGGTACGGCACGAAAATGATTGCCTTGATTGTCCCTTGATGTCAGCACTAGAGTTTTCGAGCTTCAATCTGACAAGCTCTCGACTGTTGCGGATGGAAGGTGTCGAGCACGAACAAGGACATGGTGTGAATTCATGATCCACGACTGAAAAGAGGGGGAGAAACGCTCTTCATTTAACATCGGATAGGGATTGAACCGTAGTTACACTCTGACCAAGCACATTAATTGCCACCATGACACTGCAGAAATGTGCTGCACATTTGGGATGGATCTGCAATTTGATCTGGCTTTAGCTTCCCGCCTGAACGCCACCAGTTTATAGCTGATTGGCACAGGGAAAACGACGGGCGAGGAGTGGCTCTTTTGGCATTTGAGATAAACGAATGGAATGATTTACTGGTGCAGTAGAACTAACCTCGTATTTTAGATGCGGGAAACCATTGTGTTCACTTTTATTTGTCGAGAATGTCTCTCAACACCGCCCTCGTCTCTGGCGCACTAGATACCTCACCATAGCCCACGGGGCGGCACGCGAGTAATGATATTAAAAAAAATAAAAAAAAATGGCGCACTAGATATGTCCCTATTGCCGTCACTTACAATCCTTTTGTCTTACTTGCTGCCCAAACGGCAAGGTGGATCACTAACAATATAGGGACCCATCTTGACCTTCAACATTGATGCTTTGCTAATATTCCTTGCAGCTTAGCGCTTTCGTTGTCGCTAGACAGGTATATTTTTTTTTAAAAAAAAAAATATCACGTAATCCCGCTTATCGCTCTTCGCTACGGCAGGGCAGTACGCAGGATAGCTGCACCATTACATTCTGGCATATGCACGCATGGTTTATTTTTTCAAGTTCGAAAAGGCGTCCATCTAGATCGGAGATGAGCGTTGACAGTTATAATGGAGCAATACTTTTCTGGTTTCCTTGATGGCGACTGATAGTGGTGGTCGTGAAAGCATTGCCGGAGCGAACTACGGTACAGTCTCGGCATTGTGGTAACACGTCGAAAAATGGGGGCAACCAGTGGAAGGGTCTGACTGGATTAATCTTGTGATTATGAAAGAAAGTGGAAATTCGGGTTGGTTGGAGGGACGGAAACTTCTTAAGCGAAGGTGGCTACGACAGAATTATTTGGCTGATTGGCTGTGGTAGTGAGAAAGATCGCGAAGCGCCGAAGCCAAACCGTCGAAAAGCTTTGCTGGGTACTATAGCCTTATGGCCGGCAGAGTACAAATGCCCCTCATTTGAAGGCAGCAATCACATAAGAACTGACCGTTGGCGCATGGTCAGGTGCATGCTAGCCTTGGACTAGTATGCAGAGAATATGCATAGATGGACGCAAATGCCGCAGGGATATGAGGATATTGCAGCAGTTGAAATGGATATGAATATCTACACACGCACACACACACACAAAAAAAAAAAAAAAAGCCTCTCAGGATGCCCCGAATGATCATCACAATATTGAAAAGTTTGGGACATCATATATGGGAATGAGATTATTTGGCCAGCGCGGGTGCGGTGTCTTGGTAATATAAATACTGACGAAAACAAGTGGTGGGTTACAATTTTACACAGCGACCAAATAATTACTAAATTAATTAGGCGTGTGTACAGTGGATAGGTATGAGAGCAGGTTACACACCAGCTCCCCCTGCCATAAAATTGACCCAACTTTAGACACCTCTGTCGCACAAGGTATGCTTCGGTAGTGTGCCGCTTGACATGCTCGGATACCTTACTGTACGTAGGCAAAAGTCTTCGGGATTATGCAGTATAAGGAAAAGCAAGACGTGCATCTGAGCGGGCCCTCCTTGCATCTCGTATTTTTTTTTTTTCTTTTTTTTTTTTATCATTACTCGCGTGCCCGCCCTATGGGCTATGGCGAGGTTTAGTTCCAAAAAACATGAACACAAAAGAAAACGGCTAAATAACATTGTGAGGCCCACGGCTCTCGCTGGTAATGTGGGTAGTATCTATCAAAAGCCAGCATGTTCAGGGACCTTGTCTTCCTACAGTACTTCCGTCCTCTGTCTCACTCATAACTGGTCCGCCCTCAGCCATCGTCCTCCGAGCCTCACTCTCCCGACCTCGATAGTTTTTTCCAAGTAGACTACCGTTGAGCTTGTCTTTTTTCCCTCCCCGACCAGTGTGTCTTTTTTCCTCAGCCAACGGATCCCTGTTGTCTTGCCTAGATCCTTGTTAGCTGCCTCCAACCATTTTCGGACCTTCCCTAAGTCCTTTCTCAGGGCTATTCCGTGTACAACTATGCCGGCTTTTGACGGGGTATTGGCATCGGGGGTGGTGCATCTCGTATTTCAGTACTGTTCGAAAAATAACTAAAAAGTCAATGAAGTAGCTAAAGAATTGCAAAAAATTAATAGAGCACATGAATGAGCATCACAGAAGAATCTAAATCTATTCTCAGAATTCAAAAAGAGTACTCTTGGTTGAGTATTGTGTTTTCTCAAGGAGGGTCCTCTTGAATGCATGCTCGTGACTCCTAGGCTTGGCGAAATGTTTTTCCTGATACGATAGAGATGACATTAGCAGCTGGAGACCAATAACCCTACTGAACACAGTGGCGAAACTGGGACAAAAGATAGTAGCCGACATCATGCAGACTAAGCACGAGCTCTTCTGCATAGTCCCGAAGACTTTTGCCTACACAACTGTATCTACATGCGCATGTTCGAGGTGACTCCCTTGTCGAAGCCGTTTTGTGTGCAGCAACCACGCATTGTATGGTGGGAGACATCTGTAGCGGAGTAAATTGTGCATCAACTTCAACGCTTAACAATGCAACTAAAATAAATAGATAAAATTAGTTTTGTATCTTAATATGATAGATCAGACGATAAAGAATAAAGTTACGAAGTGATATCTATTTTTTGTTATAGTGTTTATATAGGGTTAAAGATCAGGAGTTTTGTATGGAGAGGGGTCATTATTGTTGCCCGTTAGTAAGTGCCAAATAAAGTAGTATAGTACATAGTAGTCTAGCCAAAAATGAAGAAAAACTAACTAAAACTGCAATAAAATATATGTTCTGGCCCACCGACGAACATTTTCCGGTTAGCGAACCGGCCAGCCGATTCGTGAACCGGCCGGCCCCGTGAAAAACATATGGTGTTTTTCACGGGGCCAGCCCAGCCACGAACACCTGGCCCAGCGGCGAACATGAATGTACCTCGATGTACCTATATGTAATATATATACTCGCTTATGCTTTAATGCAATAATGATCTATCATACAGCCAGCTAAGCAATTTCCACAGTCTCCTATCCCCCTATGCAGTCATCTATGTACAAACAATAGTACTATATATTCACTCTCATTCTCCTGGTTAGTACATTGACCAGCATTGCTTTTATTACAAGAATAAGAACTTTTGACGTATGCATGTACAACGAAGAGAAGAGCAGGTACCTAGACAAAGGCATGAAATTTTGTCTTGACAAGTTTTATCATGATGAGGTTGCTTAAAGTGGGTACTTGGCACTTGCAGGGCTCTTATTATCTACTGTTTCTGGTAATACAACCACCAAAATTTTCATTCTTGGCATCAACGCAATCCCTGTTACTGCCACAATATAATACCAGAATGGCGGAGGATTTCGGAAATCTCTACCTATGAAGATAACACTCCAAAATTTCGCTTAGAGTAAGAAGAATACTAGAAGCATATTTAGTAATTTTCTTCTAGTGTTTCGGTTAACAATAATTTAGTTATGATTACAAATTGGTATTCTTAACTACAGTAGTAGTGAATTATTAATTAAACTGTCTGTATTATCTTCTAGTATGTGGGTAAGAAGTTAGCAACTTATCACCGACAGCAACTTTCAAGTGGCAACTTATAGGTGGCAACTTGTCAGTGGCAATAGGGCTGTGCTAGCACACAGTAACTGACTTATCAATTAACGCTGGTAGCAGAATGTTTCTCTATACTCAATCACTAGTAGTACGTAGAGGTACCTAGTGGTACTTGTACTAAACCAGTGTTCGTCGGTGGGCTGGCCCATTCGCGAATCAGCCAGCCCACCGACGAATTGGCCGATTCGCGAATGGGCCTGGCCGGTTCGCGAACCGCAATGTTCGTCGGTAGGCCAGAACATATATACATTCCTTATGTAATACCCTTTTTACCACTTGGTTTTATGTTGTGTGCGTTTTTTTTTTCACGTTACCCCGCTTGCAGCTGTTGGCCATGGCAGGGCGTTGCGTGCGATTGATGCAATAGATATATGCAAGTGAACAACTAGCACAGCTAGGCTAGGATATGTAGAGTGTGACAGAGTGATCGGGCGGTAGGAGCAGTAGCAGCAGTGTGTGGGAGTGCTAGAGTGGTAGAAGCGGTAGAGCTGTGGGAGAACGATGGAGCGGTGAGGGTGGAAGAATACCTTCAAACTCGCTGCATACTATGGGGCAGAACGTGCTGTGCTTAGTCATCGAACCAAATGTAGCCCCCCTACTCCGTGTGCAGTAAATCTATAGGAGCTAGGGGGAAGGAGGGTCAGCTCTGATGCATGTGGCGTCAGTTTAGAAGTAAAAATAAATTCCGTTGCCGGGAATTGAACCCGGGTTCTGAGAGTTCACATGCTCCAATTCAGAGGATTGAAAGATGAGAGTCTCAAATGCTAGCCACTACACCACGACGGATGAACTGAAGTTAGAGGGTCACCTGACTGACGGACTTGCATAGTAGGAATATAATAAAGGAAGATCATGGATAGCAGAAGAACAAACTCTCATACAGGAGAGATTATTCGAAGATCTAACGCAGAGAAATCCTACACGAAAAAAAAAAAAAAAATTGCCGAAACGAATTGTTTAATTTGTACCTCTAGAAGCGTAGAAGATCTAGACGAACCGATTTGTGACTTATACATACTGGAATTGTTACCTTAGAGGCGGATTGACAATCGGAGACTCAGAAGTAAGTAAGTGTGCAATGCCACAATAGATGCCGTTCACATCTGTACTTCACTTTGTAGGACAAAAGTTTGATGGATCTCAGCCAATTTTATATATACTAATTGTACATAACCTTGGATTAATTCACAAACCAACCCAATAATCTTTCATAGACTCCCGGAATCGTCAAGTTCACATCTGCTCTCATTTTTGTCAATCGTATTCACTTTTTCCGGTGGGGATGAAGCTAAGAAATTTTCAACCGATTCAGCTGTCACGTGGGTAGAGCTTTAAGAAAGGCCAGCGCCAGGCTGTGTTGGATATCATTTTCATGATTAATCAGATGTTGGGGTGCAATATCCGGATGCAGAGCGCTCATCAGACAGATGGGACCGTGTATAAGCCTTCAAGTTGTCCGAACATCGAATATATTTTAACATGGTGAACTTGTTGACATGAAAGCGCCAAGCGAGTAATGATATATATATATATATATAAAAAAAAAAAAAAGACATGAAAACGCTAGGTCAAATATCGGCACTTTTCATATCCGTTATATGAAGCGTTGGAACAACAAGGCGAGCTGCTGATTGTCACCGACTCACAAACGGCAATAGCAAGACTTCGGAGAATAGGAAGAGGGGAACCCACGGTAGACGGTGCGTCCACATTGGTTAGGAAGAGTTGGGAGAACCGAGTAGCGAGAGGGGACCTAGACCTGGCAGTGATATGGGTTAAAAGCCACAAGGGGGTGAAAGGGAACACGGAGGCAGACTGGGCGGCCAAAATCGGCACAGCGCTACAATACGAAGACGAGACCGTAACAGAAGCAGGATTAAGACAAGACTATAAGGCACTGCGAGCCACGGAGAGAAACCAGGCAGGCTTAAATTACCGGCCCTTGCAAATCGCCGACCGGAGGAAGTATCTCTCGACGCTGGCGGGGATCCTGGGAAACAAAGGACTGAAAGAATGGAGATACCACATAGGGAAGGCCCAATCACCGGAATGCCGATGGTGCGGAACATGTACGGAAAGACTGCAAGGCGTGGGCTAGGAAATGCGGGGGGGCGGAAGGTATAAGACAGATTGATAAGGGAGTAAACATACGGGAGATCTTGGAATGGGCACGGGGAGAATAGATGAGAGTGACGCATATATTTCACTTATTTTATGTATTTAAATATCGCCATAGCCCATAGGGCGGCATGCGATTAATGAAAGAAAAAAAAAAAAAAAAAAATATCCGTTATATTCCATCTGATACTTCTATCCTGAATATCCATAGTAACTGCGCTTAGTTTAGGGTCACTTGCTAAGCGGATCCATTGGATTTTACAACGTTGTGCCTATATCTTTCCTCGTAGCTAATACCTTCATGCGACCCAATGCGACGGAATGGAGATGTAAATGCATGCAAGCTGAGTAAAGTTAAGTAATGATAAGAAATTAGATAGAGGAGTTAGAAAGAGTAAAGAAAAGAGATAGAAAAAGTCTAGTATCAGATTTTGAAGAAAGTTATTGGAGTAGTCTAAGAGATAGTAAGGAAGAAGATGAACTAGATAGTAGAAGTAGAAAGTGTGAAAACTACACCTTAATACAGTATAAGCAAGGTTTATACAGTAGTAAGAAGTTTGGAAGACCTAAAGAGATATAGGAATATGTGGTTAGTAGATCTCAGTAGAAAAGAGTTTTTTTTTTTTTTTCTTTTTAATATCATTACTCGCATGCCGCCCTATGGGCTATGGCGAGGTTAAGTAGTAAGTACATAAGAGATAAATAAGGGAACAATGAATCCAACAGGCCGGTCCAGACCATTCAGGCCGGTCCAGGCCAACCAGGCCGGTCGAGGCCATTCAGGCCAGTCGAGGCCGACCAGGCCATTTACGTAAATTCAAGCGACTTTGGAATTTAACCCAGGTGAATTAGATTTTAATAGTCCTGGATATTTCCACTATCAGTAATTCAAGCGGACCTTAACTACAAACCAACGAAACTGGTAGATAGGAGACGATACCTTTCAACATTGGCAGGGATTCTCGGCAACAAGGGGCTGAAGGAATGGAGACACAAAATTGGGAAGACCGAGTCGCCAGAATGCCGATGGTGCGGAAGAGCCCTGGAAAATTGGGAACACTTACGGAAAGATTGCACCGTTTGGGGGAAAAAATGGGGAGGGGCGGAAGGTATAAGACAGTTAGACAAGGAAAAGAACTTGGCGGAGATTCTCGAGTGGGCAGGGAAGGAGTAAGGGTATCTACATACATTTTCTATTTTCCTATTCTATGTACTTAAACATCGCCATAGCCCATAGGGCGGCACGCGATTAATGAAATAAAAAAAAAAAAAAAAAAACCATCAGTAATTGACAGTTGCGCATCAGGTATCATCATCAAAGAATTGAGTCCAGTCTGTTGTATTATCTGGAAGGTCCATCATGTCTAAAATATTTCTTAGTATATATACTTGAATACAAAGTGTGATACATACTTGACAAAAGTCGTAGACCGCTGCTGTTTAAATTTCTAGACATATGGGAGATTCTACTCATTCAAATACTCAAACAATCTGGTAAATGCTGGCCTCAATTCACCTGGATAGCTGTGGAGTGATTCGTTTGATTGGCCTGAACCGGCCTGAATACCTTCATATGTATCTAATCTCATGTAACTAATCTCGCCATAGCCCCCAGGGCGGCACGCGAGTAATGATAAAAAAAAATAAAAAAAAAAAGAATGGCCTGAACCGGCCTGGTTGGCCTGATTCATGTGGATCAGGCCGGTCCAGGCCACTGAGAATACCGGCCTGGACCGGTCCAGGCGGTTTCAGTCCAATGCAGATCACGGCCTGTTGGATTCATTGTAAGGGAATAAATAATAAGGACATAGACAGTCTCTCCGTCATACATAATAAATCTTCCATTATCGGCCCGCCCAGTCCAGCAACTCGTTGATATCCTAAAAGAGGAGGTGAAAAAATATAAGAGGTACTGAAAGAATTGGAGCATCGGCTAGGCAGTAGAAAAGAACAATTTCGAATGTATTATACAACAAATGTAGAGTAAAGTTAGTTTTATTATACCAAAGGAGATGAATGAGATTATATGGAGAGAGGATTATGAGATCACAGAGGTGGAGGAGGTACGAGACAATAGAAAGAAAGAGAGAGAGAACAGAGAGTAAGAAATGTTGATTGAATGAGCTACTAAAGATATTGTGAGAGTTTTTACAGAGGATAGTATAAATAAGAAGAGGCAAGTAGGCAGGAGTTTCTAGAAATAGGATGAGAGCAAGGGTATAGAAATGAGCACAAGAGCAATAGCATAGGATGGGAAGATGAAGTAAATAAGGATGGGACTAGAAAGAGCAGTATCAGTACCAGCAACAGTAGTGATTCTGACGGACTCATAAGTAGCAATAGCAGCGACTGCAGACCTGAGAAGAGTGTTAGAGCAGGTGGCAAAAAGAAAGAAGACAGGAGGGGATTAGAAGCTTATGTAGGCCAAGGCCCACATAGACCCTGCCATGGCTTGGCGCTGTAAGCGGGGTTATGTGATTTTTTTTTAAAAAAAAAAAAAAAAAAAAAAGGCCCACATAGGCATCGAAGAAAATGAGGAGGTAGATGTGAAGGCGAAGAAGGTAGCAAGGCAGATAGGCAAGTTGGTGGTCATAGAGAGAGCGCTGCAGCAAAATAGAAGCCGTTAAGGGTCGCTGAGAGAAGGGAGCCAGGGTTTGGAGGGGGTGTTGTGATGAGGTGAGGCCGAGGGGTGGCCACTACCTTTACTGGAAGCCCCGCCGAAAGAGAAGGACCAAAGCGACAAACTGGTGGACATTTTGACATGGGCAAAAGGGGACTAGCAGAGCGGACACACCATCATCAGGAAAGGGGCGGGCACGAAAGGCAGTCTCATTTTCCTTTTATCTCCAATTATTTCCAAATTATTCCCCATGTACATAAAAATCGCCATAGCCCCCAGGGCGGCATGCGAGTAATGATATTAAAAGGAAAAAAAAAAATTTACTGAGGCTGAGAATGGGGAAGGGGATGACCAAGGAGTGGGATATTAAGATTGGCAAGACAGTGGAAGGGGCGGTATGTGGATGCAGGGAGCGGCAGACAGCAGACCACCTGGCGTTTAAGTTTGAGGAGGAGAGGTACCTGGAAGGATGGGTGGAGTGGGAGAATTTCGAGAAAGGGGAGTGGGTGGAAAGACAGGAGAACGGGAGGAGGTAGATATCCTGGAACAGCTGTTCCACTCACTGAAGGTGTGAAAGAGGAAGGGGGGCATGGCGATGAGAGACGTGAGGGTCTATTCTGGTTCGTGGCAGGGAGGGGGCGTCATTTCGTCTGTAGATCAGTGGTGGAAGACGTAACGAGGCTATTTTTATTTACCACGGGAGGAGTGGCGGGGAGGGGACGGTATTTTAGTATGTAGAGTAGTAGGTGGAAGAGTAGTTAGATATGCTTGCCTCCGAGCATTAAGGGTCTAGACCCAGCGGCCCTGCCATGGCGAACAGCTACAAGTGGGGTTACGTAAAAAAAAAAAAAAAAAAAAAAACCATGTCGTGCCGTACTCACCGACTTCACAAGGTTACGGAAAAGTACGTCATATATTACCGGTTCTAATCCCCAGAAGCCTTCCCTAGCGAGCTTCATGTTGTAATCATTGAGTTTTCTGACTTCTGCGTCTATGCATAATTGTATACTGTCCCTTTAGTAATTACGGGTAGAAATATTGTATGCAG